TTCATGAAATATAATTGAACTCTTAGGGACATCGAAAACCAATGAGAAAATGGCATGCTACTTAAGTAGTCATTTTTTGCAGAATTTGGTTCTTGCATGCAGTCGGAAATAAGTTCGTTCGAAAGAGGGCACCCTGAGGTAACTGAATCATTATAAAATTGTGCTGCATAATGATTAGCTTTACATTTCATGAGTTAGCCCACCTAATGTAAGTATTTAAGGGAGACAGAGATGGGCATTTTCGGCCTGATTGACGCCGCAGGATAGTCGTGTCATAAACGCAGACGGGTGCCTAAAATTTGAGCCAGAGTCAGCGAACATGTTCAAATCAAAGGCTCCATCACTTGAGCTACACAGGCATGCCCTGATGGTTGCAATTGGGAGCATTCAAGACGCCGTGTGAGTAGGATTCAATGAGCTGTCCTGAATGCAGAAAGGGGGTGGGGATTTCCGTTCTGATTTTAAACTCCAGTCTAGAATTCTCATCGGGAAACTGTGAAGTGACAAGTAATCGACGAGAATACCAGCCATTCCTGACCCAACTGCAGTGAAAAAGGGAGCTGTCAATTTCTGTCCTGCAATCAAGAATTCAAAACCCTCCAGTCCGTTCTGGCGGATGCGTTACTCACGGGGCTGCCGCAAACGCAGAATTACATGACCAGTGAGGAGAGGTCTAAGACAATACGGCTTAACCCACAGGAATATCTGAGTACAAAAGCGGAACACTGCACTGCGGCACACTGATAAGACGGTTGAATCAGAACATGAAACGAAATTAGACCGTCCTACTGATTTCAATTTACTCATTTTGCTAGAGAGAGTTGCCGGTGCTTCTTGACGAGTCATCATCCGTTATAAAAGTTCTGGAATTTATGCGGAAGAGGGGTTCGTTGTTTGACTCCAGTAGTCTACAATCACGAAACAGTAGACCGGCCTTGCGAATAGGGAAAGCGGTGAATAAGTTAAAAAAAATGTCTTTTCGGGCGTCTTAATTGCCCGTATTACGTCTTCGATCGTGTTCGGTCTCTATAGTATTGTGGATTATACGCCTCCAGACATGACGACCTGCGGCAGCAGATAAAGAAATCGACCCAACCAATTCTCTAGCAAGGAATATAGGTTCAGTGACCGCCAATATGTCTTGAAGGATACTGCAGTTTCAGGGTTCAATTCGACATTTTCGCTACTCTTAGTTTTGCAGCGGCTTCGAAAGAAGAGTAGTGGAGCTGGATCCGCGGATGAGTGACAGAGAACACTCTCATACCAACACGACCGTCTATTTTGACTGGTCTGAGACATTTTCAGTGAGATTGTGGACAACCTCAGTAGAGATGAAACCGAATACAACGGTGGTTCAGTAAACCCATTTTCTGGTCGTTTTCCCTGTTCACAGTCAGCAATTCTTAACTATGAACTGAGCGGACGGATGCCTGGCACACGCGGCCGTTAAGACGCACATATCATGAAGGGTGTTTGGATACGTCCAAACGCCGGGTCCCGTCAAATTTCAAGAGGCCGAAATCCTCGCAAAGGGGGTGACAACCGCGTGAGCCGCGAGCTGCTCGAGTCATGGTTCTCAGGCCCGCAATCCATCAACAAGAGCAATGACCTCCCGGCACCATATTCCGTGCTGAGATTTTCCCTGGGGAGGAGAATCAGTCACGTGGGGAGGGCGCGGGCGAGCAATTATCCCAGTGACAATGAGCCAATTTGCCGAGCAATCGTCACACCAGCATCCAGCACGGATGACGAAATCACGGCCATTAACGACTCGGGCTCGGACTGACAAGCCACCACCGCATCAATTACGACCCCAGCGGTGATTGCGAGAACTGCTAATTGCAGTGCGCATGCGGTCCCACGGCAGCCACGTGCTATAAATACTGCACTCCTTGTGCCACCACCACCTTTATCTACGAATGTTTTTGATGACGGATTCGAGTAAGAATCCGAAACGTCAGGCCAAAAAATTTCTTGTTCCAGTGATCGCATCTTCGTCTTCCAGTAAGGAAAATGTCCGAGAGGGGGAGAGTCCCAAGGCACGACGAGACGAGTGAGTTCCGTAACGCGATCGGTGAGAAGCCCTCTGCCATTGTTTATATACCCGATCGCCACCGACAGAATAACGAGCCCGCGGCCCAGTGGTTAGGACATTTGACTTCTAACCAACAGGTCGCGGGATAGAGTCTCGGGGGTTGGATACCCCGGAGTTGGGTACGGCTGGCTGATGGCGGCTAACGAGCCAGAAATTGCCACCCCTGTCCTCTTGTCTTTATCAGTAACGTCATTCTGCCTACAATTAGGCGTCGCCGTGCGGCTGCTAGAGGAGCTCGAGAGAGAGCCCAAAGGAAAGACGGGACGAGTGAATCCCGTATCGCTACCGATCCGCGCTTCCCTACCAAAGCCCACGTCCTGTTGTACTTAGGACACTCGCCGGCCGTTGCATAGCGATAAAAGGCAACGTAGAGTATCGACATAAATATGGACATCGGGATGATCATTTATGGTTTACTTGCTGTTGCCAGTCAGTCATAACTCAACCGCAGGCTTTGACAACCCGGGGATTCGACGGAAATCTTTTCTACCACCAGACGTCAAGTCACGTGTTTCGATATTAGACACAGTCTCGTCCTACGGATTGAAATCGGGACGGCCTCGCTTTGTACGGCCCGGCGAACGTCCCCTTCAAGCTTGTTTGAATTCGCTCAGAAAATCGATAGATAAACGGTGAGTTTACAGATCTGAAAATGATCTGGATGATAAGAGAATTACTTGAGAAAAATATAAATAGATCGGGCGGGCGGATACAACTCTGTAGACCAACAAACAGGTTATGGAATCGTAAGAAGGGAATTTTATGGGTCGAAGATCGTGCAATGACGAAGCGATAGCAGTGCCGCGATCACTGCGATTATTGCCAGCAGACCGTTTAGCCCCATTATCTGAAACAGGAACCCAGCGCAACAACAATGCCAATAACACAGACGGCGATCAGTTGTTAAAAGCCACGGCGTAGTTCGAGAATCTACCAGTGGATAATTAACCAATGAAAACCATCCCACCGTGGATTTCGACTTTTTGGGTCTCATCCGCGAGTCCGATACACCTCAAAACCACCTCAGGATGACGATGGCAAGAACCTTGAAAGCACTATTGACAATATCATGCAAGCCATGAGGGGCGGTCTCAGGCCGCAATGATTGTTTGATCACCAGGTCGCCCGTGTCGACACGGTTACAAGACTTCCGCGGAATTTCGCTCGCCTCAACCGGGCGCCTTGCTGCTGCATTTACAGAAGTGGAGCGGCGATCCCCCCCCCATATAAACGTGCGCTGCACGACCGTATACGCTGGACAATGAAATCCAGCCCACGAAGTTCGTACGGATTGCTTGTCGCAGTTGCGGAAGTGCACGGCCCCGGCTGAGTTGTCATCAACATCGCAAATAGTCACTCAATGCCAGAGTTCTGTCAGCGGCCTGGTGATCGTTCCGATAGTGTCACCGACGTCCGAGGGCTGTCGCATGGAAGTCGAGATCCCAACAAGCTAATTTGAATAGTCGTATCTGGAAGTTGCGGTTACTTCGCGGGGCATCGGAACTGTGTTTGCTTGTCTAAATTCTCGAGCGCGTGCTTCTCTGATAGGTCACGGCGCTGATCTCGAGATGAATCATTCCTCAGATTCTGTACCCACACAGGCTGGACGGAGTGAGACATTGTAACGTCCCACGACCTCGATAGGGTTGTTTGAACGAGGGAACACTTTTTGGCGCGCGAACCCAGGATGGAGATGGCGTAACCGCGTGCTGGTGAATATGGCCGGTGTCCCTTCCTCTCACTTCCGCCGACCCCTTTTCCCACAACGTACCGTGACGTCCATACGTTCTCCCTCTCTGTACGTTGGCACCTCCCTCGGCCCTTCCCTGCAGTTGCCCACAGCGCTGCGTTCTCCACCCGTTAATTAGCTGGAATGTCGGTATCGCCTCTCCACCCAAACAGGTTACTCCACAGTTGTAACTCATTCTGCTTGTACTGTTAACAATTATTATACGCCTTTCCAATTCCCACTTCTGTCTATTATACCTTCTCGCCCACTTGACGTTCCTTCTTCCTTTATCTACGGATGAGCATTGTGATCTACTAACGACCCTATTCAGATCAACGTTAGCCAGGATCTCTTTCCAGTGCTTCACTGCTTGGGCGTGTGCTACCCTTCACGTCCTTGGCCGCTACAACATGGTCAAAGCCTGTGACCCTGAGGAGTCAGTCAGACGACATCGATCGCCTGTTGCTCATCCATTGTACTACTACACAGTCGCCTCTGGAGTCGTAACACCGGTGCTAGTGCAAATGACAGGAAAGGAGAGGGCATGCGTCCAGCGTTACGTAATTAGGCATCTGCGGTTTGGGCACCCCCTTCTGATCACGAAAACATCTGCTAATATGCATAACCAGCAGGAATCGTGGCACGAGCCTGGTAGCAAACAAGAGAAAAATCGGCGAGCGTAAAGACTCCTGCTTTGGTCGAGTCCTTTCATACTCCCTGGCCCACCGGAAAGAACTATACTGACTACTAAAAAAAGTATATTTTCAAAAAAGAACAACTCTGGGTGGGTATATCTTGGAAGCTGATGTTAAGTTAGGGGGCCGGGGGAGGGAGAACTGCAGAGACGGACGGTACAAAAACATCCCCAATGCACGTATACAATATGCGGATAAACAGGTGGCGGTGGCTGCAGTGATTAGGCTTAAAATCAAGTACAGGAAAGCATGAGTACTAGGTGGAGAAGCGAGGGCACCTGGTAGTATGGGTGTGTGTACAGCGCGATAGAGGGCGGGGAGAGGTGGGGGGGAAGGGGGGTTAGAAGAACTCACCCCACGGAAACGATCGAATAAACCAGAATCCGCACCCTCAGGCGGGGCGACGGCGGAGGTAGCAAAGAGAACAACAGACAGAAAGAGGAAAAAACAAAGAACTGGAAGTTTTATTAACACGGGGACTTCAAATAAAGTCGTCCATCCGGTGGCGGAGGAAGTTTGCGGCGTTCCAACGAAAGCTGGGAGTCTTCCAGATTTCTGCCAGCTTCCGGCATTCTGTGTCGATCACAAACTCCACCCGTTCCCTGTACTGCATTCGAATGAGGCACTTGTTGGTTTCGGTGGCCTAAAAAGGCAACCGGTGGTGAGAAATCAAACTGGAGGTGGAAGGCAGGCGAAGTGGTGTACACAAATTGAGTTACTACGACTGTTAGCTCTATAAAATCAGTTAGGTCGCATCCGCAATGACATCCTTTGGTCTGACAGTTTGGTCAACGCAAACGATGCGAGCCACCGTTATCCCAAACAGTGAGCTACGGGGCGACTAGCGCGCGTCGCATCTGCCCCCACCTCTTCCCTACCGCAGTGACCAATGTTCCAACGGCAAGACAGGATCAAAGAGACCGGAAATAGGCCGGCACGGGCCTATAAGGCTAAGTAGTTCATCTACGAGTACCGCACACCACCGGGTCACCAAGTTTCCGCGCAACCGGCATAAGAGGATGGGGAGCTCGGGTGTCTAACGAGCAAAGTGGCATCTTTGCGCAGCCTAACTTCCAAATTATGTCATCATTCCGCAGGCGGTTGTGAATGCTGGGCTTTGCGCGTGGAGGACGAACGAAAACTGGAGGTATTTGACCACCACTGCTTGAGGACCATCCTTCGAGTGAAGTTCACCGACTTCGTCTTAAATGAGACGGTCCGCGCTCGCTGCGACAACATCGCAAGGATAACTCAGGCCATCCAAGAGAGACGCCTGAGGTGGTTTGGGCATGTTCTTCGTCGTCCACATCAGGAGCTCAGTGTTACTGACCTCGATCCGGCACCGTTGCCCCATTGGAGGCGTCGAAGGGGAGGTCAGTTCAAAACCTGGCTCGACACAGTTCGCCAAGACATGGAGGTGGTTCTTGGACCTTCGGTATTCGGTCTACGACGTTGGCGAAGGGAGTGGGTTGAGCTGTCCAGATCTGCTGCCGCGGATCGTCACGCGTGGAGAGGTACAGTTCGAGACATCGTCGAGGCCGGCTAGATCAGGCATGATCGCAGCCGTATCAAGCACAAGTACATTAGCGAGGTCTACCGCTGTCCCATATGATTGGTCCAGCAGTGGCTTGTGCAGACTTGCGCCACATCGACCTCATCTTCTCATACCAACCGCCCCCCCCCCCCCTCCCCATGGCGGGACGAGCGGAGGACTGTGTTTGACAATGTCAAGCAGCTTGTCACGCGTAACACCATAGGATCTGGTTCCGAAAACCACGTGTACCAGATCTACTTCGAGATCTCGACGCTCTTGTAGGCGAAAATGCTATAACAGCTACACTAAGAAGAAGCAATCGTAGCCTGACAACCAGTCTTGAGAACGACCGAGCCATCCCCGTTGATTGGCAACCTCCCAAGCCATGAGTGAGAGCTCCTCAGATCTATTTAAGAGGGTAATGTGTTCAGTTGGCTGTCTGAATCTGTCGGCCAGATGGCCATGAGATCGGGCGCTATGGTTGACGTGGCCTTAAAGCCCCCGTCTACGGAACAGCACATGCATGTATGTATGGGAGTGGTTTAGGGGCGCGAGCCTAAAACAGACAACGCGGCAGATGCGCTGGGTCAACATGCCGGAATGAGCACATTGGGATCCGCATCGCCTACCGGACCAATGGCCAGCTCTTCTCAATAGCCAACACATACACGCCCCGAAGCCTCCATCTACGGCTACTGTCCACGATCTGCTCGTCGCACGCGATTGCGCACTCAAGACTCCGTCGCTGAGTCTGGACCTCTTCGCCTTCGATTACGCCAATGTATCGAGTGCCGATCAACGCTGTATACAATGTTCCCCACATCCACATCAATGGCACCCAACTATAAACCGTGGACAGATTGGCCTACCTAGGCAGTACACCCTTGCGGTGCATCAAAAACGACGATTAAGTGGCACGCCGGATTTCTTTAAAGCCTTCGGCCGGCTGCAGAACTTCATATGGGATCGTCACGATCTGCGCCTAAACACCAAACTGAATAAGTACAAAGCTGTCCACTTGACGATGCTGTTGTATGTTGCAGAGACCTGGACAATCTGCAACAAGCGCGGAAATTCGATCATTGCCACCGCAGTTATCTCCGGCGAATACTGTAGTTGAGGTTGCAGGGCAGGATACCGGACATGGAAGTTTTTGGAACGGACCGGGATCCTCAAAATCCACGTCATGCTGAGGCAACTGCAATTACGATGAGACGGTCACCTCGAGGAGATGAACGATGAGGGACTAACCAGGTGACACTTCCATAGAGGTGTCATTACGGATGCTCGCCGACAAGAAGGTCCATCCCGCTGGTACAGAGAGACCTTGGTGAATTCCTCGAGGCGATAACAAATCAACCCGAAGATCTGGGAATACCTCGTGCTTTGAAAAATTCGACCCTTCCGCCAAAAAAATGAAATCAGGTCTCACCGGACACAGAGGAAAACACACAGTGGTCCTTCATAAACTTCACAAACACTCAAGTTCAACTGGATGTCCTCTGGTGCTGAGAGGGTAGGATGAGTAAATGTAAAGCCGCGACAGGATAGCGGATCACAGTCAGACACTAAGGGCGGATGGCAGTCGATAAGAACAAACTACTAATTCCTACGCCGAAAACAACAAATTTTCACTTGCATATGAACGACGAGCAAACAGGAGACAACTGGGTCACCCAGCGGTGACAAACATGCGTTTAACCTACAAACTCACCACAGGCGAATTGAAAGCCAATCGCTCACAGCGCAACAGCAGCTCTTGGCGGAAGTTCTTGGGAAAGAGAACATCCGACACGAGGCCGCGTTGAAGGGCCTCGCGTGCTGAGAGCTTGCGTGATGCAAGAAGCAGGTCGTTGGCCAACGGCAGACCCACGAGGTTTGGCAGCGTGAAACTCGCTCCGCCCTCAGCTGTCTGTCCCAGTTGGGCGTAGGGAAGGTGAAATGTGGCACGGTCACTGGCGTAGACAAGGTCGAACAGCGGCAGCATGGCCACACCGAGACCCAGAGCCGGACCATTGACCCCGGCCACCAGGAGCTTGGGGAACTTCGAGACGGCTAGAAGGAACTCGCGTAGGGCGTCAGAAAACTGTGAGGCCACCAGATCGGCGGACTCGGCGGAGGTGAAGGGGACTGATGGTGGTAGATCGGGCGGACCGCTAGGGAGGGTGGGACCGAGGGTGAAGGCGGACAGGTCGATGCCCGAGCTGAACACGTGGCCAAGGCCACAGAGCATTACCAGACTGACGGAGTCTTCTGTGGCATGGTGAAGGGCCTTTGTCAACTCCATTAACACCTGCAAGATAGAAGTGAAAGCTGGGAGTGAGAAAGGGAGAGCTAAGAGTATAGTGAAAGACTGCCCAAATTCCGTAAAAGCATCAGCACAGAGGTGGATGCAAGGGTCATACCGTCACCGAATGCACACGAAGTTTATAAATTTCTGGCAACAGGTTAGGCGGCAGTGATCATGGATCTTTCCAAACGCCAGACATCGCTGGGAGACATTCGTTCTTGGCCTAGAGTTTAGGACATTTCGATCCACTATTACTAACGCAAAAAACGAGTACACAGGAGATGGCAATGGTCAGTGGTCACCCGCCAGCTCATGTCATGCCAATGTTACTAGTCAGTTATCAAGCGCACTACCAAAAAAATTGGCTTACGTAACGCTGTAGTCCCAACGGTGCCTCTCTACGAGACGAACAATAAAAAGGACTTTTGCGCAACCAATTGGTCCGAAAGTCAGAGAACTGACCGGAATAACACACCTTGAGCTATATAGCCGCGGCAGAGAATTGAGTCCGAGCACTGTCGACGGTCTTTTTGCCATCAGATCAGAAGTAAACAACAGTTCGACTGCCGCAGGCGAACAGACTCATTACTGTGGGGGCGCCGTGATATGCTGGAGTGTGTGAGAAAGGGAGTCGCCGGATCGGCACTGCTCGTCCTTCCCTTATGAGTCTGTCGGCCAGCTGGTGGTTACGGCGCAGTGGCCGACACGGCGTCGAGCCGCTGCCTATGGCGTGTGCTTCGAACGCGCACACAAAAGCACCTCGACCGTCACTACCGACATCGGCAAGAGATGACTATGTGTGCGTGTGTGAGTGCGGTCCTAGTGTGCGCGTATGACCGGGGGGTTCATGTGGCGACTGTGTGGGCCTAAATGATGGGCGTTGCTTCAGTGACTAGTGTGGCGCTTGTCCATATGATCGAATGGGCCGATTTTATGGCTGAAGGCGCGGTATGGGCGGGAATGTGAGTTAAGGGTACTGGCCGGGACTTAAGGCACTGATTCTCCAGTCAGGTTGTGGTGGATTTTCAAGTGTCCGACCAGACCGTTGAGTGGTTGGAACACACGACGAAAGTGAAGGCAATGCAATAGAACGACCTTAGAGAAAAGCACGCTCACTCCTGTTGTCCTCGTTTTAGACGTGGTGTCAAGCTGCCAACGGGACGCGTGCAATACCGCGTAACGAGGTCAACCAGTGATCATCATAGGCTTGGCTGTTTTATTGCTGCTGTCAGCGATGAGCAGTGGTGGCGTCTCTGAAGTCGTTGGGAATTTTAACTTGACACCGACAGCTCAGTCGTCGCGAACGACGTCAATCGCGTACCGTCCCCCCCCGGGGGAGTGGGCGCAGCAACGGTGACTTGCGTAGGACCTGCCACGCTCTCCTCCTTCCTTACCCGCCTGGCTTCCGTGATAACACAGAGTGAAGATGACCAAATGTGGATTCGGGTGCAGTGGCTGACGTGTTTAAACAACTCGCCTACGCGTGCCTGGTCCCACAGCAAACACCTGGATTCTGTAAGGGGCACTGCGATCGCCTGCCAGTGAAAATGCTATAGGGGCCACGCTAGGGAGCCATCGCGGCCTGGATCTCCGTCCTGAGGACTGGGTTATCCCATCAATTAGCAGCCTTCTAGGCCACGACTGCTAGCCCTTTGCGATAAATCTAGGCGCGCCATGCCGTGGGGACGCAGCACCGACCTCACTCGTTAAAATGACAACGCTGGTACGACCAGTGAAAGGCCTGAACGTAGCCGCCGGCGGCGTAGCCAGTGGCTTCCGCTTCTCGTATCAAACACGTGTCGGTTCTTCCCTCAATACGAACCAGATTTTGCCCACTCGGACTTAACACCTGTGTGAGATCTGCCAAAAAAAAAACAAGATTTGGCAGCCGTCGCAGCTTGACTCCTCAGTTTGTGGAACCAAGTTGCTGAAAAAAGGTTCTCACGAGAGGCGTGAGTATTCAGACTGATTGACACTGTCCCACCTACTAGACATCATGTGGTGACCGGCGCGGTGGAGGTCATTTAAATAAGGCAGCTGAAGAGAGAGTAAACTAAAGTTTACTGGGCTTGAGATACAGCATGCTATCTCCCTCCTCCGCCTACTAGTTTCTGTGTCTCCACAGGGGTCAGCAAGGTCGTCTTGAGGTTGTCCTACATATTAAAAGGCCCACTCAAGGCCCGAACGGGAGTCGGTGGTTGAAGATGAGTCTCAGTCATGAAACAAGGAGGCTTGTCAAAGGTGGCCACGGGCACGGTTAGACTGTATCTCTCGACCGGATACAAGCTTCCCTCGACCTCCTGTCCGCGTCAAAGCATATTGGGCAGTAGAATATTGACACCCTCAATTCCCGGGGAAGGGGGAGGGACGAGGTTAGGAGAGGGTTAGTGTTAGGATTAAAGTTGGGACAGGTGTGGCCCTGGAATTTACTACAAGGCCACCCGCAGTCCATACTCCCGTGTCCGATCCAAGCGCGTAGAAAAGCGTGACAGACTGACCTCAGATTACTGTTCGCGCCGTGTGGTACAACTGGAGAACTCATGGTCACTTGCTAGAACCTTGTAGAGCCCGTTTGCAGTAAGAACGACGACTGACACTAAATCAGGAAATGGAACGAAAACTGTGAACTTGTCTGCACGAAGGCCGACTGGCTACACGGACACTGGATACAAATTTTCAATTCACAAGACAAGCTGAAGGGTTACCATTCTAGGCCGAGGCTCACCGCAAAGCGAACAATTCGGAGGTGAGGTGCGGTTTGCAGGTGCCAGCCGGCTAACCAGGTCACGGCGTAGAGACGGTAGACCAAGAGGGGAGGCGGCGAGCCTAACAAGAACGCCTGTGAAGCCGATCAAAGATAACAACCTGAAAATCAGCTCACTCGAGGGCAAGGAGAAGAGCTATCAAACGGAGCAGGCAATCCGCAGATACCAAAGACAGCCCGATCGTTGTTTCCGACGATTCCCACCGCGTGCCCCACAGCAGGGAGGGTGACTCGCACAGCACATATCGCAGTCACTCCTCCCTCACCCTCCTGGACCCGGTCCCAAAATAGATTCAGGAAGAGCAAAGGCGATATCAGGCGCCGGTGGCTGGTGCGGTTTGGGACTGCGCCTAGGCGTGCCACCACAGCCCATGTATGGAACTCGTTATGGGTGCACAGTCCAATAATTCGTGCAAGACCCTTATCTGGGCCTCGTATTGGCTCAGGGCACGGATACCAACACCGCCGACACACTAGCACGTCTTTACGATCGCTGAAGCATCGACAAGCACTAAAGTCAGAAAAAACCATCAACTATTCGCTTGTACCAACCCGATTGGCACGAGAGCGGTGATACTGAATTGGGATCAGAAATAGACAAATAAATTAAGAACGAGGTTGATCAACTTTGATCAAAATTCTTCACGGTTTTGTTGGGTAACAGCGGACAATATACTCAGCTGGCCCACTGGTTTCGGAGAGCGTGTCTTCATTCTCAGCATTTAGCAAGGATGTTCTTAAGGGACACTATGCGGCTAGTGCTCGTGGTGGTCTTAAGAGGTTGCTGGTGGGAGACAGTCGACGCATTTGACATCCAGATGGAAGAAGGCTCCACGTAGGGAGACAAGTTAAAGATCAGAGATGACTCGAGATGACACTATGCAGATACGGTGAATGATGCATCTTGGAACACACCTTTAGAGTGAAAGAGTTCTGTACAGCACTGCCCGGAGATCGAAGGACCAGTTCCGTGAAGCCCTTCTCAGGATGACGGTTAATGAGGATGGAGGAATCGACGTCTGGCCGAAAAACAGAGGAGCGGAGGTTGGAGGAGGGTCGGGAGTTGGGCTTGGTGGAATTGAAGAGTTCCCTCTCGGGCGGGGTCTGTTCTCCGCTGCAGTCGCCGTTTACACTACCGGCAGTGCTTCCGAGTGTCTAGAAGGGGGACAGCATTAAACTACGGGCTTAACAAGCCTTTAAAGCGGGCACACGATGGCGAACCATATTTTTGACTCATCAGTCTTCTCTGGTTTCTAACACGAGCACTCACATTGCTAGTTGGCCTACCGTACATGACGGCTTTAACAGTTTTCCTTGGCTGAAAAGCGCACCGACAAAGCCTGCCAGTGGGAGATGCACGGATAAAATTGGAATATCGGGAAGAAGCTTGAGGCAAAAGTAAAGCTAGCCGTCTAAAGGCAACGGTGGGCCACTCGGACTGTTGGTTCTCGAGTGCAGAAGAGACGGCGGCAGCGAGTGAAAACACTTTTTAACTCGAACTACTCATCTTAGCCCAGTGAAAGACATCTGGGGAAGTTTTCATTCAAGGCAACGCCAGAACACCCGCGTGGCCAAAATGGAAGTCCTTAGCGGGGAAACATGGACAGGTAAGTGAATGAGATTGTCTTAAGCCTACGAAACACCCGAAAAATAAAGAAAAAATGCGACCTTTTCTTGAAGTTTAAGTCCTTACTAGCTTCATTAAAAACACGAAGGGTGGGCCAACATTTGGAAGTAACAGGCGACACTTCAGCTAACCTGACTTATAGTGCTCCTCCCTGAAGTATACAACCCAAAAACTAGTTTGAGGGAATGTGTCACTGATTGTTTTGCTTGCATGCATTAAGTCGGTTTTTACTGAGTACGGCGCCACTTCGCTCTGTGGACCTGTTTTGACTTCTTCTATTTCACTTTATTCTAGTATATACAATACATGACCTAACGCATGAAACGAGATGACAGATAGAGCGATTATCATTTTGAGATATCCAACTCGTTACGAAAAGTGTCTTTTTTCATTCAGAATATGTTTTTAAGTAATTTATTCGGGCAGATGTTTACAAATTTGAATTGAAGTCAGCAGTACCTTATATTCCTAGAGTAATTTTGCGCGTCAGTGCGCATGTATTTACATAATGACAGTAATCTAAGGTGGAAACTTCCACTGAATTTGATGTTGCTTAGTTGGGCATTGACTTTTGCTCCACGTAAGTCAAGTGAAGCCGCGTGTGAAGACGAACGTTATTTCCAGAAAAGCAGAACCATTTAGGAGTTTTAAAAATGCAGATTTATAAATCTGTGGGATCTTATGCCCCCACAGGGCCGTAATAACCACCAACAGTCAATCTTTTGTTTCGACATATCCCTAGCTCCTTGGCGTTTGTGAATATTTCGTAAGAAACCGTGAAAATGCCCACCGCCAAGTGGCTCCTTTTATTTTGAAGCATACGATAGGATACTTTTTGCGTCCTCTAATTTCTGCTACTGCGTAATTTTGAAACGAAGTTGGCCCAGCACTTTACTGTCACTCAGCAGCGCACTTATAATCGTAGATAGGTGTCTAAAAGCATGTAAAGATAGTGAAAATGGCCCAGGTTTAAAGAGAAATATGAGTTCTCTTGTATGAGGGGAAAAATACACTGAAAATTGTCAGGACGGAAAACAGGGTGTGAAGCGCACGTTATTTCCAGATAATTAGAACCTTTTACAAGCTAAAACATTCAAGTTTGTAGATCTGTACGATTTTATTCCCCACAGGGCCGTGATAACCACCTACAGACAATCTTTTGTTTCGACGTACCCATATTTACTTGGCCATTTTAATTTTGAAGCACACAGTAAGATACTTTTTGTGGTCTCCACTTTCTGCCAGTGCGTAATTTAGAAAAGAAGCTGACACAGCATTTTAATGCTTAGCGTCACTCAACGGGCACTTATAATCGTAGAACGGAGTCTAAAAGCATGGGAAGATAGTGAAAATAGCTCCGGTTTAAAGAGAAATGTGAGTCCTCTTGCATGAGGAGAAAAATTCACTGAGAATTTCCAGGACAGTGAAAAAATGGGCTGAAAGCTGCATGTTTTAAAAGATGAAGCACGTGAAAATTCATCAGCAAAATACTATATTAATACTCTTTTTAAAAGGGGCAACTTATTGGATGCTTTTCAGTTTATCATGAGCATATTCACCTCAGACCTTCCCCGGGGTTCCTTTTATGTCGGCGATAAGGTTTCTTCGTTACTGAGTATACAGATATGCCTACCGGTCATCTGCAGGAAAAACGCCCGAGAACTCACTACTTAGGTAGATGCCATCGAGAAATATCTTGTTCTGAAGATATTGATGGACATAAACTACAGAACCTGTATTTTTGACCGTCGATTGAGAAAAGCAAAACCGCAAAGCATTACTTGACATTTAGTAGACACTGTGAAACTCAGCGGACTCCATCGTGGCCAAAAACTATACAAAAAATTCTACGGATAAAAAGCCCTCTGCACGCAGAAAATGGTATGCTTACAAGTGCATCGGCTAATTCTATTTGAATTTACTAGTCGCAGACTGGCTCATCAAAATGTGACCTTAAGAAAACTGTCATTCCTGTGACGCCCCTATTGACAAAATCAAAAGAAATCCCTCTGCATTTGGGCAAGGGTTAAGTGCATGCGCGGGGTAAGACAATGCCAACTGATGTTTAACACCTTCACCAGCCTTTTAACTCTCCTGGTTTACTGGAAGACGTATTTTGCTATCCGACTGCTCTCCGTGAAGAACCTTTTTTGAAAAAACGAGCTTTCCTCTTTGTAAAGAATTACGTTTGGGGGGGGGGGGGTGCAGAACAATAAACCAATGTAGACATTTCGGCAGCACCAACTCCTCGGGGCGATACAGGTCAGCGAATGTCATCCTGCCGACGAAGGGCCGACCACAAAACTCTACCGAACAACACCTACTTTTAAAAATATTGTAGGCAGTCCTTCGCGGTTTTTCCTTACCCCGCGCATATACTTAACCCTCACCTGTATTTACAAAAATGGAAAAATTACAACGTCCCGTGAAGCGGTTCTGGAAACCATACTCCAACTGCAGGCAGCGGACTAATCGTCGCACATCATTTGGCACTAATTGACGGAGGACACTTAAGTGCAGACTGCACTACAGGGCTATTTTAATGCGTTGTCCTGCCTGCTCAGTTATTTGCATGGGCGGGCTTCATGCACTTCTAAAACTTGAGCCTAGTCATATGACACGAACTTTCGCGTTCGTGCACTTACGATGGTTCATTGTTAATTGGGAGTTTCAGATGATGCATTTGAGCCAGTTTGCGAGAAAAGAGAGATGCCTCGCAAAATCAAGCGCATTTCAAGAGTTACGGTCACCTATAGTACTTTCTGATAGTCTGCTGAAGTACTATGGATGCGCAAGTGCCACGGCAGGGTTTCATGGCATTTTCTGACAGCGGATTTTGAACTTCCATAGCTCTTACCGGCAATTACTAGGAACATGTCGCGCTTACGTACCATTCTGCTTAGAAAAAGAGTATGTTTTACTGGTTTACAAGCTTTGTTCAAGTAGGGTGTTGTGGTTAATTGGTGTGGACATCAGATTTTTTGAAAATCCATCACTTTCGGGCAGTTTTCTGATCAGAAATCGTCGTAAGCAATTACAATTGGGAAGCATACTCTTTGGCAAGTTGCTTTTTTCGACCTCGACGCACAAATCACCCTGTGCTAGATGGAGGCGCTTGATTTCTTTGCTAGGTCACCATTTTGCTTATGTTTTGGCAGTTGTCACTGAATAAGAAAACAACGAGGGAGTGTGTTGAAATGGCATATATACCATGTTTGGGAGGGGACTTTTACCTCCTCCTCCTCAGTCGACGGGGAGAAAACACAAAACCGACTCTCTGTAAGTAGTAAACTAAGGAGTGCGCACGTGGTCCGGGGGGTTAGCGGAGAGAGAACATAGACTGCAACAACAAATGGTGCTGTCTTTAACTGTCAGTTCGACCGTTGCTAAGGACGATGGCCACCGTTTGCCCCACAGCATGGTGGATGCATGACTGGTGACTTGCGCAGCATCCACCGCACTCCCTCCTCCCCGCCTGATGCCGGTGACAAGACTAATTCAGGACTACTGGAGGCGGAAGCAGCGGCTAAGAAAGTTAACCAGCCTGTCTACGCGTGCCACGCACGACCCGGCCCGCACAAAGTGGATCCAATTTTTACACAAACAAGAAATGACCGCCCAGATAGAATCGAGTTATCATGTCCGTTGGCGGGTTGGCGCACCCTGAAAGCTGCGAGCGCATCAGACTTTTTATAATTAGGAACGCGCTGGAAGTGCCATGCGAATGGATTTCCCAGTTTCAACCTCAGGCTCTCTTGCCTCTCCCTCCCTCCCACGCACCAGTACACTGCTCGAGCCGGCCAGCCAACTGATGTTGGGGTTGGACGCAAGTAGGTGACAAAGTTCCGCTGGCCCGCTTACGTGTGCCACACACGACCTGGCTTCCTAGCACAGTATGCCATGTTTTCGCAAAAAAGGGAGACGGCGCAGATCTCACATGCATGAGAGAATATCAGCTCAATCACGGAACTCCAACGTTTGTATCAAGGGCGTCGTCATTTATACTCAGGAACGACGAATGACCATGGCGACGCCAGAGCTTGTAAAAGCGCGCCACATTCGCCTGTAAAGTCTCAACGAATGTAACACTGGGAGGTAATAACGAGCAAAAAGTCGAGAGGGCGCTGTGGAGAGCCGGAGAAGCGTTTATTAGCCAAAAGTCCGCGACTGGTCAAAGGAAATAGCACCTTTCACTTAGCGACGATACCCCCAGGAAATCCGGAATTGGAGTGAAGACAGCGAAGCATTCAGATTCACAGTGTTCCGACCTGTGTCGCATCTCGAACGCACACATCAAAACACGCAAAAGACGCTGTGATAAAACCTTGGTAGCCGGTGACGCCCCCAGCGAATTTCTTGCCTATTAAAAGAAGTGCACTACAGGCCGCTGGACAATCGTTAAACAAACAAAGGCCCACCTCTGACTCCTTTTCACCACTACAGCCAGTCATCCAGACTTCAGAACTTCACCCACGCCGGCTCATCCATCCAAAAGATACAAAGCCAGGTTCCAGGCACGCTGCATCCTACTACAACTCACCGCTTCGCTCCTCTGCCCGTACCCTCTTGACCGGCGCCTCCGCTATGTTCAGCGACGGTTTGCCACACAACAACAATCAATAATGCCTTGTTTAATTTCCGAGGAAATTAATGCGCGAACTAGGAGTAAATCTTTCGAAACGGGCCTTTTCAGGCAGGGTCCAAAGTTTGATATGAATATTTGAGCTGAAAGCTGGGGGACCCACTGACGAGCCGAACCCCTCGCAGCTGCGTCAGGCAGCGGCATAAGATCCGCGAAACACGCGTGTCTGGGCTTTTAGCTAATACCTGTGTTGCTAGTATGGTAAATCATTGCAAAACAATCAATAATGGCAACGATAGGAGCTGGGGTTATCGTTCACTATATGCAGTATGCTAGACGGAAATGGTTGCCAAATGATGAGATCAGGACTATCGCAGCTTCTCAACTAGACTAATGCAGCCTCATAAGGGTAGAGGCACACTATTTTTAGACTCAGAACAAACAGTGCCACTACTTAGTGGGATGTGCACTCCAGGCATGAATAGGAAATTACTTAATCATTCCCGTTTTGCGCACAGACACCTGGTAAACCCGGATACTTCGCTTGTCAAGGATTCCCAAAAAGAAGACGCCTACTATTCATGTGTGGTTTCCGCAATGACGAGAGAGCGAGAAAGCCGGCGAAGTCGGTATTTCCCGAAAGGAGTCGTGGGGCGTGGCAGGCAGTCCCGTGCACACACGGTTACACCCCCGCAGAGAATAGGATTCACCAGAGCGCGGGTGAGAATATTCAGAGATGACTCAGCGGCACCAGCAGCCGACATAGGATGCCGAAGACGACTATTTTGGCGGTCATCGTAAGCATCTTGGTAATTAACTTGGCACGTCCCCCTCCCCCCCGCCGGACAGCTGTGCGACGGCGGCAGCGGCGAGAAAAGTGGAAGGGACCACAGCCATGCCTGAAAACGCCTTCGGCTATTCGAGGATCTGAAGGCACGATGTTGGCCTTTGTCAGGGACTGGTCGATTACGGTGAACATCCGGGTCTGCTGGGACGCGAATTCAGTTCCCAATTCGCCCTCAACGTCAACCACTGCCTGTGCGGGTCTCTCATTCGACTCTGAAGGCGCTTTATGGCTAGGCGGAATGTACGGTTGACTAAAAACTGGCACAGCTTTAGAGACTACAACAGAAGTATCCGACTTTTGGTTATAAAAAAGTTGACAACAAGTTGAGGGCTCTGTGCTCCTGGAGACGGTCAACTACTGGGGTCTCTTAGTGCAAGACTCGGCCTAACAGGATCCAGACCACGAAACTTCGACGATATTGGCGGAATCGCTCATTTGCGTGGCCTGCATTAGTTGAACACACCTGGGGATCGCGCATGCCAGGTGCACCATTACACCAGCTCCGCGGGCATGGTGGCGCCGTCGTCCAGAACGGCTGAATATGCAGAGTAAAAATTGAGGAAAGCCATGTAGACAAGACCAGGTCAATACGACTGGAGATGGGATAGAGTAGTGATCAACCTGAGATCAAGTCCCGCGTGACGGGCCATAACACAACTGGCTCTCTTCTATACCCAAACGCAGGTTCCGTACAAGCTCCCCGGCGTTAGTGAGACACGTTGGACGTAGCCACATACACCTTTGTCCGACAAACGAGGAAGCTACCCGATGGTGGTCGCTACGCTCAGTACAGTTCCGTGAAACCACAGACGAGGATGGGCTTTAAACGGGGCCAGAGTGTGCAGGCGACAACTTGTGGACAGGGGCTTTTGCTGCGGTTGTCAATCGTCAAACTAGTTACAGGACGTATCACGGTGCCTGGGAGGCTCAGTCCATAGCTAAATTGGTGACTAACCAGCGGCGGCGGCAGCAGCAGCAGCAGTACTACCAGGGCGTGGAAGGCTTGTCTGACAAACTGACTGCAGAGTAAGCCTGCACAAAGTACGCTAATAGGTCATCCTTGCGAACACTACCTTCGTGACGGTCAGTCAACAAGGGGACGAGGGATGAAGACTTATAACAAATCCCCGAAGCATGGACCTCGCCGACTTCTGCCGTGTCCGCGAGAGTAGACGCGTTCAGGACTACAACACTGGGTCAGACGACAAATAGTCCACGCAACGCCCCCATGCCCCCACGAGAGAGAGAGAACTACATACTCCTTACTGCACCCAAAGCACAATCTAGCAATGGTGGATTAGTGTCGACTTTGAATGCCCCTCCGAAGTACGCGGAATGTCACAGCATAAGTCACAGAGCACAATGGTGTCGTTGACGACTCTGGTTATCAAAAGCGAGAAGGCAACGCTAAAGCTGTCTGGCTATCACAAGTACCTGCCTTCGGCAGAACAGATGACAGGTCGGTACTTAGTCGACAGCTACAAGGGCAAGTGAACTAGCTGTGTGTGTGCTCGACCCGCCTGCCATGCGCCGTGCCGACATGGGTAACAGGAATGCTCCGGCTGTGTTCTCGTGAGATCTCAACTAAGCGTTCTTCCGGAGATTCAGTCACTGCAATGCGGTTTGGTTTGGCCACCTACAGCAGCCTGGCCGCAACAACGCACGGGTTCATCGTTTCCAATATGCGTCTGGTCGAAAACGCGCTCGGACCGTGACACCCTCATGTGCGCCCCCCACAAGAGGAGTTAGATGGTAACAGGCGAGGCCGCAGAGATGGGACCTCGGACGACACAACTGAATTTGCCAATAATGCAAGAACGATTCTTTTTTGTTTATGATAACCGCAAATTCAGACATTTGCGGTGAAAACCGAATACGGCAAGCTTTGCAGCCGCAAGGATTTTGGAATCAAATAGTCCGAATGCGCGTCGGTCAACAAGAATACAACGGAATGAATCAAATGTAGAGTTCCAGGTGTATGCATAAGTGACGAAGAAGAGGGTTCGAGCACCGGAAAATTTTGTTTATTGTCCTGAGCTCCCAGACTCGTGCAGGAGTCCATCGTCAGAGGTAGTAGCAGCAACAGAACAAGCGATAGTTATAAGGCATGTAGGCCAATCATCGACCGACGGCGCAAGACTGGAGGTGACTATGCAGGACTCTGTACGTCGGCGACAGATCGATAAATCGATGGACCGAGTTCTCATCCGAGGCCCAAACTTCAATCAATCCTCGGCCTGTTTTGTTTACGGCGTGGGAGACCATTTTGGTGGCTGCGAAGTTAAACTCGCGACCCATTTCGTAGGTGTGGGCGGCGACTTGTGATAATGCGGCGCCTTGTCGCACAGCCAGCTTATGTTCGTGTATGCGCGATCCGAGCATGCGCCCAGTCTGCCCTGTGTAGCTACAAGGACAATTTTGACACGGAATGCGATACACTACTCCAGATTGCTCTTCGCTTGTTCTGTTGCTGCTACTACCTACCTCTGACGATGGACTCCTGTACGAGTCTGAAAGTTCAGGATGCTCGACTCTTCCTCTTCACTGAATCAAATGTGTCCAAGGAGCCCAGCAGGGATTTCGATGGTGAAGCGGTGGACTCGCAAAGAACTGCGATGTTCAGCTTCCCAGCACCAGAACGGCCCCATTGTCCGAGTGAAGTTGAGACTGTGACACTGTCTTCTGCGAGAAGCACTGATGCCAACAGCAATAAGCAACCTCCTGAGGCCTCTCCTAGAAGAAATCACAGTAGGCACGGCCTAACAGAAATGGTTGGTCGGTTAGGCGAGCGCTGAGAGGAGATTCACCAACATAAACCGTGTCGTGATACCACAAGACTGACTGCTGACACCGTGAAATCGAGTTTGATTAGGGCGGTGCCAAGGCGTTAGCGGTTGTCGCGTCCAGCCCTTGTAGCAGTAGCATTTTCCGATGGAAAGGACACCCACCAATGTGTACGGATATTCTACGCACGAGTAGTTAGTCAAAGGTGATTTATGGAGAATGCCCAGTCTTTCCGGTGCAGTACCACAACTGTGGGTCAGTGATACGAATGAGCGCTCAATCATATTGTCAGGATGACGAGAAAAAGGCAGTAGATGTGCCACCTGATGTTATCTAAGTATTCTAGGTCTGAGGAAAATTAGACGACTTGTGCGCTGAGGTGAAATAAACTCTCTCCTATTTCAGGATAATACAAAGTACAGAAAATTCACTGATACCACAAAAGCATGTCAGAAGGTGTTTTACCTCAGGCCTAATGTACTCAAAAAGTTCTAAAACGCTCCAGAATATTTTTTGTCTGAAATTAATTAACGAACTTATTAAAGACCGAATTAACTACACAACTTGTTGTGGGACTGGTCAAAAGCAATGAGCCAATTACAGACGGGTACGAGTAGTCTGCAGGTTGTTCCGATGGACAAAACGGTCTGATCACCCGACATTGTAAACTTCAACCAGCACGGCCTTAGACATCAGATACGCGGCTTATCTACAGGAGTTTTAGTTAGCCCTAGTACTCACAAACGTCCACAACTAGCGTTATGCATTACCTGAGTCCAGTTAGTTTCCGGATCGAATATACCCAGATGATTATTGAACCGTCGCTAGCAACGCAGTTCACCACTGTCCCACAGGATGGAAGCAGTGGACTCGTTTATAGCGAAAACATACTTTCACAGCATTCATCTTCTCCGCTGTTACCATGTGTATCCTGTTCTGATGGCGGGACAAGGTCAAATGGGCCGGAGATTAGCGAGGGCACAGCGGATAACAGAAATAAACAGCCCGTTCACGCTCGCCACTCACGACTCCGCCCCTAACCCCCCGTGACGGATCTCATACATAGAGTGCACAATGACCACAATAAGGAGCCAGGACATTGGAGCTTCACTCTAATGGGGGATCGAATAATTCCGTCAGCTGGCAGCCTCCCAATACAGGATAGCGTCGCGAGTCTGAGGTGGGGAATTCGCTACACTGTTATGATGACAGGGTACCCCAGCACTGGCTTGAGGTTTTCCCCCTCCGAGAGGATTTATGGGTGACTGAAATGTGTGGTTGCAGTAGGCACTGCCCTATGACGATGTTCGTGCTGCGGTGGATACGGAGGAATCCGACGACAGCGAGATACAGTGGCAAGTGGGGGGGGGTTCCTTCGGTAGTTTTAAAGTTTTAGCGAGCTGCGGATGAGTCGGACCCGAAGACGAAGATCCGGCTTCTACGAAATGCAAATTTTTGCTGCGGTATTCAATGTGCAATCGTCAGTGAAGACGTCACTTAGTCCAGTGTTGGAGATTTTGGTGCCGGCCAAAATACAGTGGATGTTGAATAAATTAACAGAAGTTAAATAATCAAGGTCCATTTGCGGTCACTCCTTACGGTCCGCACAGATTAGCAATTCAGTGAGGATTGGGGCAAGGACGCAACTCATTTCAACTCGCACAACCATGCCAGCGGGAGACCACATGGCCATCAAAGAGGGCATTTCGGAACACATCGTGATTTTCCGGAGTTCGCCTCGGTTCATGTTATTGACGGCCGAGGGAAGATCGGCAAAATGCAGTGTGGAGGCTGATTCTCACTTTCGGGTATGTTGCATGCAGTTACTGTTCTGCCAAGATCGCTTTTGTTTTGCTTTTTTTCAACATGTTTCCTAAATCCGCATTGAAGCTCTGGAGGAGGCTTTTGCTTCATGTGTACAGTAAGACGATTGGGGTGAGTAAGGGCAGTAATTCTTTTAGAAGTGCTTAGGAGGCAGATCCCACGGCGATTACCACAGACACGCCGGTACTGTTTTCGCTCATGAAGATGTACAGGAAGCGGTGTCCTACGGGATTTGTCGCCGTCCGCGCATCTTCTAGAACAGTGAGTTCTCCCTTGCCTTTGTCAGTAATGACATACAGTGAGTTCTGTTGGTCTTGGAGGTTGCCGTATTTGTTGACTGCAGCGGCGGCGGCGCTCACCTCTAGTTGAGAACCAAAGTGCTCCACAGATCCTCTGACCACTTCGACCACAGAGTCGTTCTATGACGGCTGAACAGCGGTGCCGGTTTGGTGCCGCAAACTGCCTTGCTTTCATTTCGCCATGATCAGCTTGTCCTCAGACCGCCTGTACCTTGCGAAGTAGTATGTTGTTTTGTATTTCCAGCAGTCTCCGTTGCAAGTTGGATAGGCACACCGAGCGAATACGGTCTTCTTTGCAGAGGCTACGTCGTTTGTGTGGATCTCGTAGAGCTGATGCTTCACGGACGATGGGTTTCGTTGTTGTCGTCTTACAGCCGGCCCTGGTGCCGCCAGTGTGCAGTTCCGTCACAGATTTATAAAGACTGCTCCATAGCCTGCTCCAGTTGTTATTAGAACGCTTTTGACTTGGAGGACGACACGTCGCCTGCGCTTAGCCATGTCCATTAATGCTGTGTTCAGTTCTCTTTGCGCCGTCTCCAGACGGAGGCAGAAAGACGCAACGCGCGTTGGCTTCCAGTTAAAACCTCTGTTAGGAGAACAGTGGGACGATTTCCTCAGTGGGAAATAAAAGCTATTCGGCACGACCCTGGATGGGTCGATTAAGTGCACTTTACGCCTTGACAGTGGGGAGCCGACCAAGCCCTTCGAAACGTCAGCGCCTAAATAAACCCGTTCCGGTGAGCCCATCGTTTTCTTCAAATCACCAACCCGGATCTCTCAACTTTGGCAGTCTGAGTAGACCCAGTCTGCAGGCCATTTTCTTTCTGGGCAGTCTCACACCCTTGCCTATGATTAATTTTTAGTTCCTGGCAAAGTTCTTTTTCCCAAAACCAAGACAGCACTAGTTACTGCATGTCCAAACCATCTGATGTCCATTAGGCCGGCGACAGGATGTGGCCTAGTGGTACGGAGAGTAGTCTTCAGTAGTCCCGGTTTTTTCTTGAACTGACTTGGTGGTCAGTTTCTTAGGATAGAAAGTCGACATTACAGCAGGAAATGCTAAGCGCGAAAGCACTGACAAAAGATTTTCATAGGTGTAAACGCGGGGGTCGAAATTAGAAAAAGCGGCTACTTGTCCAGTGTATCGAAGTGCCTGAAACATCCCCCGAACTCATTAAAAACACGCTTACACTGATGAAAGTAACTACAATCGGATTGCAATACTGACGGACACGAAACATGATTCCCAGTTCATTTGCACATCGTCCTACGACGTCTTTCGACGGGGAGTATTCTCTCAGCCGCATGCGTAGGACTCACGTGCGACAAAGTGTCATTCCGGAATAACACGTACTTTTGTGCTAAAATGTTGAGGTTTTCCAGGGAAAAAAATGACTGACAGCTGGCTGGGGAAGTGGAGATTGACGGGGTAGAAGATGGAAACCATCGTCTCATTTGCTCGAGCCAGGCGATTCGTTTGAGTCTGGCAATCGTCCAACGGCACATAAAAAACCCGCGTTGGGACTGCCTTTGGAATAAGAATTCGAGGAAGCGGCTCGGATGGACAGGCGAGGACGTCCGCAATTCAGGTAACCACAAACCCTAGTAGGTTATGAGCTCCCACACAAGTGTGAAAGCTCTGGAGGATAAAATGATGAACAGTTTGTTCGTACTGTGCCCAGGTTCTTTTTTATTGTAACATCAATCGGGGGCTCGCATCTTCACCGTAATACTCAAAAGGTTCATTTTGTATAATAATTTTGAAGAAAATTACAATGGGTGGGACATCTCATGAAATGCTAACTTAAATTATTAAGCGTATTTTCGATTAGAAAGGATTACCTAGGTGAGGTTGTAACTTTGATTGTCACGTTCGGTAAAAGCACTACTTAGGTACCCTCCTTTTCTCCACTGGATTTCGATGGTTTTATAAATCCATGTAAAGTTTACAGAGAACATGCAAAAAACATTCTTTTATGTACTCATTGTGTAGTAAATCACGTCTTCTCAAGATTATATCCTTAAAGCAAGGGCAACTTCCTGTTCCAAAAATTCGATTGTGAGTTTTTTAAGATCGGGAAGTGGACATTCAAATGACACCGTATGCGTCCTTTCTTTAAACGCTCCTTATGAAGTAAGCAACGAAGTACATAGCCATTGGAAAGTTTTATGCGCGCTATATGGCATTTTCTCACTAGCACAGTGGAACCTATGAGTTTCCTTACATGGAAGGCAAGCAGCTTGTGGTTTGGAAACTTCGAACGCAAGAATAAAGACAATTCGTACCCAAAGTTATTAGGGAAGTGAAAAATCCTTTTGAAGCCGAAAGACGCCTTTTCTTCGAGCATAAAAATGGAAGACACTATTTGCTACACAATGAGCACAAGGATAGTTTTGTGTACTTTCTCTATAAAATTTATTCGAAGTTATAAGGCCACCGAAAACCAAACAGAAAAATGTACACTACTTGAGCAGCCCTTTTTACCGAATGTGGTTTTTACGGACAGCCGGAAGAGAGTTCATTCAAAGGACGGCATCCTGGCGTGATTTAACTTGCACGACAATAAATATCACAACCCAACTTAAGTAGTCCTTTCTAGTCGAGGGCATATTTCAGGATTTGGGTGAAATTTCAGGAGATAAACCACTTACTGTGCGTCCTCTTGAAACTTAGCATTGCAGCACACATTAATTTGGAATAAAAACATACAAAAAAGTGGAATACAAGTTCTGGATGCCACAGTATTTCTCTGACTTTCCGAACTCAGACGAGCCAGTCGTCAAGGGGAAACGGCTGGCCCGATAAAGTCAAGACATGTAGAGGTGGACGAGGGTGCAGTAGGTGACGAGGCATGACAGTTCGACTGTCGTTTTTGACGACGCCCACCGTGGGAAAAGGGATGGCGACTTACGCGTGAATTCGTCTCTAGTAATAGGAGACTTGCGCCGCATCTACCGCACTCTCTCCTCCTCTCCCACCTGCGCCCGATGTCATGACTGAGTCGAGAAGACTGGTGGTCGGAAAGAGTGTAGATGGCTGGCACGAAAAAAGCCCCACACCTAGGCGCGTCACCACACCCCCTGGTCCACCACGTACACCTGACCTGGATTTTATGCCACAAGAGTAGGGGCGGCGGATTTTGCACACCAAGAAAATAGGAGGGGGGGCGGTTCGGATCCCAGTTAGATGGGAGTGCCATAAAGACCATATAAACAATGTGTCATTGCAGCCTGACTCTCTGTCCTCAGAGGATCGTAAGTCGGCAACCTTTCGGGCCAAGGCTTTTAGCGCACAGTTATAGATCCAAGTGCACCATATTGTTTATGGTGAGGAATATGCGCTGGGTCCGTCGACCTCACTTTCTCTTCCCACTCCCGGGAGCCAGGCCGCTGGCTAAGCCAACATAGTGTAGACACGCTGACTTCTAATTCTAAGCGAATCAGTCTCAAAAGAGTTACCTTGGGTGCCACATCGAACATAATTGGTCAGGGAAGGCAGCAGCTCTTGTAGTCTGACTCCCACTTCGGAGAGGGATCCAGTTACCCCGTCAGTCAACAATCTGCTAAGCCAGGATTAGTAAGGCGTCGTGAAAGCGCGCCTGACTGCCTGTCGTGTGGAGAGAAAGTGCTGAATGTGAGCTGTACCGGCCGAACGCTCACAAACAGCCGCATGTGTGAGTCGAGTCGACTGGGGATGAGATTTTGCGCACTGACTGGCTTCGTGCGAAACCTTCGCCTAACACATGTCGCACACCACATCGACTCATACCGCAAATGGTGGCAATGCTGCCCACCGCGCAAGTCTGAGTATACATTCACGAACGTAGAACGTGCTAGCTGCACGATGTAGTCACTCCGCTCTGGATCAACCTGGCTCCCAAGCCTTATATGTGGCTCTATAAATTGCACTGAGCGCAGTCGTCACGGTCTTTGGTGACCGCCCCAACTGGTGGACGAAACAAGACGATAGTAACCGGTGTGCTTTGAATGATGAATGATCGGCCTCCGTAAAACCTTGTTCGGTTGGGAGGGGGGTAGACTACCCGCGTCGTGGCACGCGCAGTGGCTATACCCCAGATCAGCTACAGCGTTTTATGCAGTCATTTCGACTCCGCTTTCTCCCTGGACCGAGATGAAGGTTGGAAGAGACAGAGATGACAGCGATGCATAAGTCTCTTTCACGATAGTCCCATTTAAACAGGATCCGTCCGCCAAGGGTTATCGCCGAAGTCTACAAACGAAATAAAACGGCGCAGGATCCTTCAGTTCACGCGGCAAGGGGTAGGTGGGACGGGGGACGTCAGCTATTGCGCATATCATCCAATGGACCGGAGGAAAGTAAACATTTTTGTCAGTCGAAATACGTTAAAGTGCAGACTAGATGCGGTTACCCGTGGCATGAGGAGGCCAATAACAACTGCTAGAAAGCCGAGGGTGTTGAAGTCAGCATAATAACCATGAACAACATCTTGTGAAACAGTTCCGGGAACCAATGACAGAAAATCAGAGGTGGGGCCAAACATTTGGATTGGAACAATTCAAAAAAGCAAGGGACGGGTATAGCGTGCAGCCATAATGACCGATCTGGCGTCATTGTTCAAGACCTCGCTGTCTCAAGGTCATTCACCCTTTTGCAGTGAGCCGTTCCAGACACGCTGACCTGAAGTTACACGACCGACAGCTCAGGCATACCTGCGTCCGCACAGCCGCAGCTGCCCATGCGACCACAAGAACGCACCTCCCCCCCCCTTGCAACCGCAACCTAAGCCACTGGGACACCACCCCTCGACAAATGCAACACACACTGACTGGACACCACTTGAGCTTGGCCCACGAGCCTACAAAAGCGGCTGCCACCACTATCTCAGGGACTCTCAGGCATGACTGGACGCAGTCAACATCAGCCCTGGCTTCGCCAGTGGCCACTGCCGACTGAGAGGACAACTACGCGTTCTGTGCACAATAAACCCCTTATTCTGGTGCCTTCCGTCTTTTCCTTCCAACATGGGATTTGACTTGATTATTGTAGCTCACAGACTACACACATTCTCCCTGCTGTACCGCTACAAAGGTAACAACTGCGGACAAAAGGACATATGGAACCTACGGTAGTCTAAGGAAAAATTGCCAAAACTTACACCCAAACGACGGTGGGGTAGGGATTTAAGCGAATTTTCCACCGCCTCCAGATTTATTGGTGCCGGTGGCGGGAGAACGTAGACAGAGAGGCCGGGACGCGAGGCCTCACACGCTACAAAGTCAACACGGAGATGTTAGGGTACGCAGGGCGTTGCAAGATCATAAAAACATAAACTGAGAGAGCCAAGATCCTCAACCACTTAAAAATGACCAGAACACACCCAGATGGCGGCTGATAAATTGCGGAAAAATACATCTGTGAAGACTAATGGTATAAAAAAGGCCTAACATGCCTCCCTCCTGTGAAGTCTTTAAAATGGTAACTTTGAGAGCAACTTTTGCGCAAAGCAAAACGCTGGTAAGCATATCTTTTGTGTCTATAGCTCAGAGAGGACAAACAAATGGGGGTTTTATGCGTAATATGGACATAAGGAGAACATTAACAAGCAAACGGTGTCGGCCACCCAAAACTTACTCTCCAGTACATGAGGCGGCATCAAGTGCCTGATTTTTTCCATCAAGGCCGATGGATCATCGGGAGAAGAGATAGAAGAACGAGGAGCTTTTGACGGATTTAAGGAAGATACCAGGCCAAGGAGAGAATTAAGGGTCGCGAAATCTATGTTTGTGGACGCCCCTGAAAGGTCCTGGAAGTTGTGCGGAGGCTGTGCAGCCTTGGTGCTCGTTACGCCAGTGGATGCCGAGGAGGTTCGGTCACGTGGTTTTCCCCCTTTGCTGCTGCCCGGGACCTTCCGATTACCGATATGGGAGCGCGACCTGGCGGACGGCTGTTTGGCATAGCGCGCCTTGATTTTGTTAGTGATATTTACATGACGAGGTAAGTCGCCCCGAGCGACAGTGCTCACAGGATAGCGGTACGATATGCCTGAGGAGCAATTTATGCTGCAGAGGAGACCCTCTCGCACTAGAGCTTGCAGCGCGGCTTGGGTGGCGTCCGGTGAGAGGTCATACAACTTCTTCGCAACATCGATAACAACCTCCTCCTTCGGCCGTCGCCGATTGTCTCTTAACTTGTCAATGACGTTAAGCACCTTCTGATTTATGGTGGTTGCCGGCTTGCAGGATTTAGTGACAGTTTGCTGGGTACCGCTGTGGCTGCTATTGCTACTACAACCTCCACTACTGACTGTCTTCTTCTCACTAGCTTGGGTTTTTGGGGCGAGAGACGAAACCTCAGAGCGGACCTTGTGCGTGCTGGTTGTATTATGGAATTCCTGGGTTGGAAGGGTTTTGAGCATTATTGTTACGCTTTTGCGCTTGGATGTCTTTAGTTCGCACTCCTCCTCCACGGTCTTGGGCCGCTTCAGTGGTGGCATCTCAGCAGATGAACATGAGGAGGCAGCAGATGACGGGTTTGGACCATCAGGGACACTACCGGTACTTCCCGGACCCCCGTCATCTGGCTTTACTCGCATCGTTCGTTGTGAAGTGGGTGCTAGAGGTAGGAGCGGCTGTGTGGACTGAACGGTCGAGGAAGTATCGGATGGCGGCAATTTAAGCGCAGCAGCACCGTTCGCATGCGCCGACTTGCTGTTGGCTGGTGTTGGGCGATCCAGGGTGTGTTTGTGAGTAGCGCCTGTGGGACGGGATTCTTGAGGTCGCGAAGGGTATACGGCAGTTGACGTAGGCACCGCAATGGGCCGCGGAGTGACCTGCGACGTTGAAAGAGGTCGTTTGTTCCTGTTGACCCGGGAACCTGATGGACTGTCGCTGGAGCAGGTGCTAGTTGAATCTTCTGATGGGTTGTGCTGGCTTGTGAGAACGGCAGAAACCGGATCAGGAAAGCGCGAGGACACAGACTTGTTGGAATGCTGTTCAGAGGCCTCTAGTTTGAGCGCCTGACGCTGTGCGTTGAATGCCTCGATTAGGGGGTTACAGGCCTCGTGCAGATGATGCTGGGGTTCCCACGAGTCGTGTTCCGGGGGGAAACCCTTCCACCGCACTAAGTATTCAGTGCGGCCCTTTTTGACGCGCCGACCGACAATTTTCTCCACCTGCGAAAAACATTAAGATTGGTGAAATAGGGACAAGGAGCAATATAAGAACAGACGGCGGCCAACAAACGCAGAGCTGGGACAGACAGATTTGGCATAGCATTAATTCCCTAATTTTGACTTTGACAGCTGTAGTAATTAGTAGGAATGCCTTTAAACAGCACTAGAATACCCTAGGAAACAGATGACTGCCAGCCAAAACAGAAGGTGAGCGGGTCGGAAAATTGTCACTGGATGAAAGCGGAGAAGTGGTAATAAAAACGGCAAAAACACCAAGGGCAAGCGAATGCAAACGGACCAACCGGAAGAGGACTCACCACCAGCAGTTTACTTTAGTTTACTTAATGTGAGGAGCTTTGTATTCACTCAAGACATCAATTTCTAAAAGGACAATGGTGACACGCTCATAGCAGTAGTGACAGGAAATGATGGAAAAGACGCTTGGAGGCGCGCGAAAAAGTGCTACAGGGAATTCTGTAGTTTACGAGAAGATGACAGGCAAAAGGATGGCCGACGTTCAAAAAGTGCTAATGTTATAGCTGCTTTAACAATATTGGCCCTTTGATGAGCTAGACAGTGATCATTGTTGTTCACTCGCAAGGACGTGAAGTGTCCAGTCACATCTGTCATCGTCACTGTTCTTGTGTCGCGTCTGTCCACCTTCGCGACGAACCGACCACAGAGCGCTCAAAACTATGCAAGTGTTTTGCGTGGGGTGCGATGTTAACCATCGCGATTTTCAGAAGACTGCGTCTACAACGTTGACAGATATTCTCTTCCGGCAAGTACCTAGGCGGCTAAACCGTTCACAAGTCCAGATGACGAAAGTTAAGTGCGGGGCGTGTTGCCAGACAGGAAGAACCAGTAACATGGTTCGGTGGTCTGAACTGTCCAGTCCATGTGTTTAATACCTGGACTACTACTGGCGGCGGCGATAAAGGATGACGGCTGAGATGGCTACTCAGTAGAAATTGGTTTTCCTTTAACTTTAGGACGATCTCTGCAACGTCACGAACAAGTGTTACGGTGCTGACATGAAGTAGACGTCACCACTGAGTCTGTCCGGTATAAGTCTTTGATTCAGGTATTTGGGAATCCCGACTTCATGGAACGGTCCCTATATGACGCGACCGTCAGCCGATGGTACAACGGGATTTATGTACGAACAAACTAGCGTAGTTGTCACCTATTTGCAACGTAATCGTAGCAGTAACATTGTCAGGAAAGTTAATTACTATCCACAGTACCACGTGCATGCATCCGTGTAAGAAAAACCAAGGACATCCGTGCAGATTGATGGTGGGTCCGTCATTCTTGACAATGATCATATTTGTTACTAGGGTAAAGGTCTAAAGGTACTGTGTTAAGTGCGATAAGTACGAATGCGGTGTCAAAACAGGTAATCCGCGCCAGATGGGATGAAATTGATAAGTGACGGTGAAAGGCGTCTTTGGCGTGTCCATATCACTGTTGCCATGCGTGCGATGTTCGACCATATGAAAACGGGCCCGAAACGTGGGACGAATCCCTTTGCCGATGACGACATTTCATTGCATAGGGCTCAGACTGCTCTGGCGATGAGTTAGCTGGCGTCTAACCGACTAATCCTAGGTGCCACCCTCTCAGGATCCTCAACATATTCCGAGGTGGCCCGACGGAGCACTCAATGTGTCAAAACAAAGGCCCTTGTCGTCAACATTTAAGAGTGTTCATTGTAACACCGTGTGGTATAGTTGTCATTGGCAAGCGCTGATCTGATGTCCCGACCGCCAAACACCAGTGTTGATGGCAAATGGGGCTCTGACGTCGAAGCGCATCCCGTACGCAAAGCGGACACACTGTATGACGTTCTATCAAGGTTAGTTCCTTCTAAAGAAGTTGCCTGATGAGAGTTCTGTGCGGTACCATGAATGGTGCAGCCGCCTAGGCTGTAATGGATAGCCGATAAGAGCACGAGCGAGTTGGACGCGATCAGTCTCCCAGTGGGTGTTTCGTCTTGTTGCCTTATCGCGAGAGCGGACTTAGTAATCACGGATCGGCCAGCTGCCTCTATGCGTCACTCATAAAACTAACGCGACTACACCGGAAGATGGGGTCGACCGCTCAGAGGACAGACACCAGGCCCGGTTATAAAAGTGGTGCCGAGAGCGTTTTTACCGAGGCCTGCTATGGTAAAGTTGCTTTTTCAACCGATAAATGGGAACGCGTTGATTGCGAGGCAGAATAAACAGAGACCTGACATACCTTACAAGCGGGAGCGATTTCGGGCAAAATTTGCAGTAATCAATCGATACTCGTTAACAGATAGGACCTGCGGTTATCATCAACAACGATAAACAGGATGTAAAACACAACTCTTCGAGATCACAGTAGTAAGTTCTACGGCTCCGCGCAAACTTAGGCAAGAGCGCGCGTATAACATAAGGGCATTTGTAAAAGCAAAGAAACGGACTTAATCCTAGCGACAAGAATAAAGCGGAAAAAATGGATCGCTAATGACTGTAGTGACAGGCCCTCATAGACTGTGATATTTCACATACCAAATAAATATTGTCCTTAGAGCGCGATCGCGAGCTCATTTACTTTGGTAAACTGGGTGTGATTGAGGGTATCGAGAGCGGCGGAGGCGATTATATCGGACAAACCACAGCAGACGTATTGTACGGCGACGAGTGACTCCAAATACTTAATTTTATTACACATACTATCCGCCAACTAAATTCCACATACCGACCGCCTTTTGGTTTGAGCCTTCAGCGTACGACGTAAAAAAGTCAGCGAGTCCAGGCCTACCAGTCGAGGCCCGCTCCGGTTTGAAGTACCCCACAGATCGACCAAGTTGGTGATGTAACAAAACAAAACCAGCCCCTGTAAATAGCGTTTAACGCATTGTACAAAACATTTAAGCTGTCGACATCCAGAGACTCGGTACTAAAATCCCTCCCTACAGCACCCGCTGGAGTAAAGAGCTCAAATGGGGAGGCTAATCAATCGGCCATTCAGACATCAGACGAAGCGAAATATTCCTCAAGAATCTGTCCATCCCTTTGCAATCTGGCGCCTCCCTATGTGAACTTGCTATACAATAGAACGAAAACCCGACATCTGACTTTCAGAAAAAATTGTCTAGACTTCCCGAACCATCTCGCGAAGCAATAAATCCGCATTTAATCATAAGTCACATCTGTGTCTAGAAGACAACCGCTCCCACGCCTAGTCGTGCGGTCTTGACGGTAAAACTCGAAGTCACCTATGAGAAGGACATAGTCAGGAATTAGAGACTGGGTCCAAGATTCTGTTATGTCACATGGACAATTTACGAACTTTTACAGTTTCGTACCCCTTCAACAGAAACGTTATCTAGTCCGCTATTTGGCGCAAAGGGCTAGAAAAATCTATTCGGCAGATGGCGCTGATGAGGAAGTAAGAAGGATCTAGGACCTGCTTCGCGAGAACGGGTATTCTGACAGATTTACTGTTAGGAATCTTACCGAACGACCGGCAAAACTCACCATACCGGCGGCGGTAAAGAAAACTCTGTTCCTTAAAGCCCCCTTTCAAGGGGGCGCGGCGAGTGAACTCCTGAGAAGGTCCTTGACCAAGCCGTTTCACGGACCTTCCCAGCAGCAAGAGTTCAAGGATTTTTTTTCGACCAACTCCGTCCCACAAAGGAAAGGTAAGGAAAGGCTACCAACTCAGACCACTTCCATGTGCAGTTACCCCTTTATTTGCTCCTGTGGCGTCGGTTACATTGGTTGTACGAGTCTGCGCCTATCCATAAGAATACTAGAACACCTGCTGGCATGACTAAGGAATGGTGAAGTTAAGAGCATATGCAGTCCCATCCTCGCACACATGATTGATTCGGGTCATCGTGTGGATCCAAACAAAGCCTTCCGTACGACTTACAAAACCCTATCTAACTACCCTAAGCGACTGGGTTAGCGTTTACTAGCAACTGCAGAAGTGACTGCTATCAGGCTACAGAGGTCGGTCCTGTGCTCGCAGAAGAACCTCTCGCACGCTTTGCGTCTGCCGTGGGCAAGGGTCGATTAACCGTATGCATGTCGGCGCGTCCCCTTCACTTCCTCTCTCCCCCCCCTTTTGTGGCACAGCTCTACCTAATCCTCTCTATCACTTACTGCCTCCTCTCCCCCTTCCCCCATCTATTCCTATACCCTACTTGTAGGAAGAGACGAACGTTACTCGGTTGATCTTATCGCCCATGCGTTTCGGTTTGTAGCTCGTTCCCATATAAATGACCATGCGGGATGAGAATTTCTCAGAAGCACGCGCATGCTTGTCAAATACTCTTCTGAATTGCTCAATGGGAATTTTTGCAACCTTGCCACATATTAATGGAAGAGGTGCAGGTGGTCGGGTCCCATAGAGTGGGAGTGCCATAGAGGCCGCATCAAGAACGGGCCATTGCAGCCCGACTCTCAGTTCACCGGTCCGCCACTAAGCTTCCAAACACTCACTGGACTGACTGCGAGGTCCAAGTCATCCCATCACGTGGCAGCCTTCCAAGTCACGGCTTTTAGCGTACCGTGATAGTTTTGGCGCGCCAGATTGGTTATAGTGAGAAAATTGCACTGAGTCCTGGACCTCGCTCTTTGTTCCCGTTTCCAGGTCCCAGCTACTGTCCGAGCCGGTTAGTCGTCTGGTGCGTGGAACGGGCGCAGTAGCTGACATTGCTGTTGACTTCGTCTGCGTGTGCCACATATACGACCTGGTCCCCAGACGCAAGCGCCAGGATTTCACAGAAGAGGGGTAGGCGGCACGAATTTTACATGCGTCAGAGTGCTAGAAATTACGTTGAGAAGAAGCCACTGTGGCCTGACTCTCAGCCCACCAGTTGGCCACTCCCCACAAATACACATTGGGCCAACTGCGAGGTCTGGGTCGCATCGCCTTTTGGTAGCTTTCCAAGTCTCAAAACTGAGCGCTCCGCGGTAGTCTCAGGACCGAACCGCACACGCAGCAGAGGCGCCACATAGAAAAGGAGCCGAGGAACATACTTCCCACATACGTGGGAGATACCAATGATGGCTTATATTGTGTGATCTCGGGTGTGGTTATGCGTCGTGTAGGTGACTGTGAGGAGAGACGTGATGGTATGGTGTTGCCAGCGCTGTTCTACCGCAGGTCTTCATGACGATGCATGTGGCTAATAGACCCGTGTGGTGAGTGGATGTACGTGGGTAGTGTGTGCAGTTGAGGCGACGGCGTTTGGTGTATGTTGGTTCTTCGAGCACTTGTTCGCCAGCCTGTGCGATGGATTTTCAGGTGGCTGACCAGGCCTATGTCTGGGACGAATGTGGGCTGACAAGGAGAGCAGCGTAGGTCGCGAGCTGTAGAGTCGATGACGGTAGTGGTAGTGGTGCTGCTCGGGAGTTGGTGGATGTGTGAGATGTGCTAGGTGTACCTATACTGCAAGTCATCGATCAGGCCGAGGTGTGAGGTTAATATGCGGTCGCAATGAATACAGATTGGGATGGAGTCCGCATCGCTGGAGGTGGGGGTTATGGTGGCGAGAATGGTGGTTGGCGGCCGTCAGGAGTATTTGGGTCGACTGAAGGAATGGCAGAGATAGTTGTGGTGATCGTCGCTACGGAGGTTCCGGAAGAGGTGATGAAGTTGGCGAGGGTCGACGGATATGGAAAACGGGGTTTTAGAGCAGCTGTGGTGAGGATAGCATCGCCGTTGACGCCGTGGGGTTTGTAGCAAGGAACGGCGTGGAGGCAGAGATTAGAGTTGTCGGTCTGTTCGTACACTGTGTCCGGAGATGTCTAACGAAACCAATCTGCGCGCTTAATGTTCGTTAACATCGTGGGCATGTTGAGAGGAGTTTAACATTTTTTGTGGCGGGTCAGGGGTTCGTAAGACCTGCCAGCCTCCATTTGTCTTTGGTAGTGATTATTTGGTTGGCTTCACAGAGGGCCGCTTCAGTTTTCGCTTCTTTTTTCCAGGCCGGTTTGTCTTTGGGGAGGTCCTCCCAGGTCTCCCGGGTTGGTATTTAGGCGCTTCAAAAAAGTTGTTCAGGGTGTCCTTGTGCCGGCAGATATGACCTTGTTGGCGAGCTCCTGGATTGTTATCCCTAGAGAATGGTTGATTTGGTAGGCGGGCGTCGTCCATTCACCTGAGGCTACTGCTTCATCGTAGGTACACTTGCCTCGGCATGGCGGGGCTGTTGAGAATTCCAATCCCTTCCAAAAATTCTATGTCCGGGATCCACCTCAGCTTTAGCATCCCCCGGAGACAACCGAGTGGAATGGATTCGGCTTCCGCGTTTGTTACTTGTTGACTGTCCAGGTCTTCGTACCACATAGCAGTGTCGTCAGAAATGACAGCTATGTACTGTTGCGAGCGCAAAGGACACGAGTGCTAATCCCAGACCATGCATATCAGAAAAAGAAGGAGTTATGAAAGAATTAATGATCAAATGTCAAAGGACTTGGCACTCACACAGATGCCGAACGCATCGCGTTGTGTCGAGTTCCTTCCATTCAGTCAAACAAACAGAACGTTTAAGAATGATGAATAAGCAGGTAAAGGCTAGATAGTTTGGCGCCTCGCACAGTACCCCCTCCGGGGCCGGAGGGCGGCGGAAGGGACGCTGAAGGATGTTTACAAGTATGAAAGAAATGATTGACCAACCGATCAGGAAAGTTTACATGACGACCACTGCGAGTGACATACACGGGGTCCGTAGAAGAGTGGATATGTCCTGTGGCGAAAGTGTTAAATTTAGAGGTGGTGGTTGGAGGTAGCGGACAGGGGGGAGAGGCGAAATACGGGACGGTGGAGTAGAGGCTGGAGTTGAGGCAGCAGAATGTAGGGGATTACAGGACTCATCCGTCGGAGTGTCCGGGACGACAGCTTTGAGGCGGTCCACATTCACGACCTCCTCACGATTGTCGCGCTGAATGCGGAACGTCTTCGTCCCGCGAGAGAACACCCGAGATGGGCCGTCATAAGGCGGTTTCAGAGGCCGGCGGATTCGATCACGTCGAAGGTGGAAGTGAGAGCACCTTGCCAAGTCCTTCTCGAGATGAGACGGAGAGGCGGAAGATCTGGGCGGAACCGGAGAAAGTGTCCGCATAAGCTGCCGGAGGCGGTGCAGGAGGTTGGAGGGATCATCTCACTGGGCAGTCGGACGGTGGCACCGAACACAAGTTGAGCTGCAGAACAGTCAAGGTCCAGCTTGAGATCGGAGCGGATGCCCAACAAAACCAGATAAAGGTTGCCCGTCCAGTTCCCCGGATCGGCCGCGGCGCGTAGGAAGGCCCTCAGCTGGCGGTGAAACCGCTCGACTATCCCGTTGGTAGCCGGTCGATAGGTTGTCGTCCGGATGCAAGTACAGCCTAAAAAGGAGAGAAGAGACTGAAAGAGGTTAGACTACAACTTGACACCGTGGTCAGTCGTGGTAATGGAGGGTGCACAAAAGATGGCAACCCAACGACTGAGAAAAGCCTTGGCCACCGTTGGAGCAGCAATGGCAAGCAGGGATAGTTTTAGGCCACCGGGTAAACCGATCCTCACAGGTGAGATAGAAACAACCACTGGACAGAGGCAGAGGTCTGCAATGTCCAGGTGAACGGGACTGAACCTTGCACCAGAACCAGGAAAGGTGCCAATGGGGGCCTTGTCGGGCCGCTGGAGCTTTCTCCAGAAGAAGAAACGATCGCTGAAACAAGGGGTTTATTCGCCTGACGTTTCGGATCCTCACTTGAGCCCATCAAGGCGAATAAATCCCTTCTTCTTCTTCTTCTTCTTCTTCTTCTTCTTCTTCTTCTTCTTCTGATCAACTAGTTCCTGAAACTCGCATCTTTGCTTGTATCGGACCTTACTCCGTTGACAGGCGATACAAGCCCCTCTCCATGCATCCCAGGCCAGACGAAGCGGTCGGAAACCAGTTTATAATAATAATTTTTATTCAAGACCCGTGGGGGTCCTATCATAGCAAGTAAGAATAACTTTTGCATTAATTTTAGAATTTTAGATGAGGTATACAGAATTATTAAAGTACTTAATTCATAGTTTTTGAATAAGTAGCATGTTACGAAGAATGTTGAGCGAGCGGTAAAAAAACTCCTAACATAAACAAAATGAGTACGACTGGATTAGAACTATAGGAGAAAAAACTCTCGCTCCTTAATTTATGAAAAACAGGCAGGACTGGACTGTATATGGCATTGTATGACGGATTTTATGGAGGGGTATGTAGGCGGGTCAGGCAGGACTGGCCTGTATGTAGACTTGAGCAAAAGGATCGAGTCGGGAATCATCATGGGAGAATTCGTATGCCGGATGAGGTCGTTCATGTCGAAGTGGCGAATTGAAAACCAGTTTCGAGGCGATAGGAACCCAGATGCGATCAGTTACATTCAGCCAAATCCAGCCGAGGAGGGGGCTAAGGAGATGCGACCAGATTACTAGTGTTTGGCAAATACAGAAGGTTCCGCCAAGAATGCCGATAGATCGCATTCTGTGAGGGCACAATGGATGGACTGAAAAACCGAAAAATAAACACTTTTGATGAGGGATCCGAGGAATTTTTCAGTTCGTGCATCGTGCCCTCACAGAATGCGCTCCATCGACGCTCTTGACGATGCCATATACTAGTAGTCTGGTCGCATCTCCCTTGCCCCATCCTCGGATGGACTCAGATGAATGTAATCGACCTCATCTGGGTTCCTATCGCCTCGAGACTGCTTTTCAATTTCGCCACTTATTTACCTTATTCAAGGCCACATACAGGTCATTTCTGACTGACCCGCCTACTTACCCCTTCATGAAATTCGTTATACAACTGACATTTCTTTCCGCCCTGACGATGTCCGATTATAACCCATTATATACCGCCACATGCAGGCCAGTTCTGTCTGCATTTTTCTATTATTTCTTTTTATTGAGGGTTTATTTCTCTTTTAAAACTAATCCAGTCATTTTTAAATTCTTATATGGAGTTTTTTTTTCACTCCTCGCTAATCATTTTTCTTAACGGACTACTAATTCAAAAACTTTGAATTGCACTTTGTACAGATTTTGCCTGCCTCGTCTAAAATTAGCATGTAAATTTATTTTTACTTGCTTTGATGGGACCCCGACAGGTCTTTAATAAAAGTTACTGATATTATTAAAAAAAGATACGACTCACAAAAGAAGAAAATGTGAGCAGATACGGAAATTTAATGGCGGCATACTAAATTCCCGGTGGCCCTTTCTTAGTGTCGTAGAGAAAGTTGTCTGGGAAGGATGAAGAAAATAAAAGTTTAGTCGAGTCAGTATTCAGCAGATAAAGGCGCTGCCTTCTCTTAAAGGTGTGTAGATTATCTGAAGATCTTATATTCATTGGAAGGTTATTCCAGAGGAAAGTATATCTGGAAGCGAAAAAAAGAGAGCGCTTAAAGGTGGAGGAAACTGGAGGAGGTATGGTCAAGGAAGAGTTGCGAAGATTGTATGGGCGACTACTGGGGGTAAGTGCTGAAATCCGAGGAAGATTTGAATTATTATTAATGCGAAAGAGGAGACAGAAACCTGCTTCTAGTCTTCGAACCCATAAAAATTTTAGGTTAATCAGCTGGTTTCTATCTGAATAGGAGATATTTGGATGTTCCCGATTTAAGGTTATTTAGAAAAACGTCCTTAGACATTTTCAATTTTTAAACGAATAGCCTCGTTCATCAAACCAAAGAATGGGCAACAATACTCGAGAATGGGAAGTGCAAACATACGGTAAAGTCTTAATTTAATTTCGGGAAGATAGGAATTGCAAGAAATAAAGCCACAAATCTGGGCAGCTCTGGCCGCAATTCTGCTAGCGTGTGGCGTGAGATCAATATTATTTGTGTAGCTTAAACCTAAATCCTTGATGGTGGTACATTCAGTCATAGGCGTGCCTTAAAAGACCACTGGTTGAGGTAGCCTAACAGGTCCAAAACACATATAGTGACATTTGGACGGAGAGCATTCCATTAGCCATTTTGAGCTCCAAGCTGAGAGAGCAAGTAAGTCAGAATGGATTTGCTGCAGGCAATGAAGGCTCGTAGATTTGTTGAAAGAATATACACATTTGAGGCCATCAACATAAATAAATGATTGAGAATGTTTAACTGCCGCCGAGATATCATTTATGTAAAGCAGGAACAAAAGAAGACCTAGAACGGTGCCTTGTAGGACACCGCTTATAACAGGGCTTTCATTGGAAAGTGAAGATCCCACTAAAACTTTTTTTACTATTAGACAGGCATGACTTGATAAAGCCTATTGGGGACTGCGAATTTCCAGAGCTTTTAATTTAACCAAGTGTCTTTTATGTGGCACTTTATCAAAGGCTTTACTAAGATCAAAATAAATAACGATAACAGATAGATTGTCATTACGAAGAGAAGTAAGTAGATTGAGAAACGACAGATGACATGTTTCAAAAGAGCGATCTGGTGAAAAGCCATGCTGGGAAGGGTTAATAACTTGATTGGCTATGCAAAAGTCGGTAATTTTTCAGGCGATAATTTTTTCAAAGATTTTGGCGAGAGAGGGTGTTTTATGGACACCTCGATAGTTCTGAACGTCAGAACGACAGCCAGACTTAAATACTGGAATAATAATAGAAGTTTTCCAATAGTGAGGAAAGAGGTCATTTAAGAGGAATATTGAAAAGATTTTGCTAAGCAGAGGAGGAAAATCTCTTAGCTGTTTTATAAGAGAGTTTGGGATATTGTCCGTATCTACTGAGTGAGAGCTAGGAAGATGGTTTATCAGTTTTTGAATACATTCAGGAGAAAAATTAATGATGCTGAGAGAAGCATCAGACAGTGGAGGAATTAAAGGGATTGGGCCAGTTTTAATGGTGAAATGTTTGGCAAAGAACGGATTTAACATTTCTGCTTTGCCTGACTCCTCTTTAATGAAGGCATCGTTGGTACTAAGCAAAGGCGGAATGACTTGGTGGGATTTAACAGATGATCTTTGACGGAAGATCTGAGCAACTGATTTAGAAGCATTCACATCATTAATAGCTAAAGACTCTCTACGCCTATCTCGCGCAAGTCCCATTTTCGAAGCTAATTAAAATATTTCAACAATTCTAAGATGAACTGATAAAGAGCTCACAGAAGGATCTTTAAACTGCTTCCGTAGCTTTTTAAGTCTGTTTTTAAGAAAGTGTGAAACAGCGGTATAATTAGCACTCCATTTGAACATCTCCCGAGGAA